TTTATTTCACTTATGAAATATCTGAAAGTTACAAGTGCTGATTAAATATGAACGTTGAAATTGTGTTTAACATGTGATCAATTTATATTCCTGCAGACTGCAGATGACCATTCCTATTTTCAGGGAATTATAATGAAAACACATCTATGAATATTATATACCATTTATGCCGATAGATCCACCTAAATGTTACACACCTGCCACCATATAGCCACACTGTCTCTTTTCTAACCTTTTGGTTTGCTGCCTAATGGGAGAGAAACCAGTCAGGAGTTATTTGAAGTAGTAAAGAGGTGGAGTGGAGATGTCTGAAAGCTTTGCATAGTTTGTGCTGCGGTCATTGTTTGTTATTATATTGCAAAACAGATATTGTAGTCATTGCTTGTACATTCCTTAAAAGGCAAGAGGTATCAAAGGATCTAAAAGACGCCCCAGGTTACATTTAGAAAAAAATACCAGACTTACAATGACTGTGATACCACCTCTGAAGCTCCATAGTAGAGAGTTTTCTTTGACACATAGTCAGATAGCAGTGCCACATAAGCTTGTTGGGTCTTGCCCAGACATTGGTATGTGAGGAGGGAGGACAGAGGATCACGGGTGAGGAAGGGGACCAAGAGGTTCTGGGAGAAAACATGGTGTTTGAGGACAGAGATTATAAGTCAGTTAGTTTGTGGCTTTAGAGGGTTTTTTTCTGGGTAAATTCAGTGGATGCATTAACACAAGTCATATTTCAATTAATAGTCAATATTTTTCATGAATGAAGCATTGACACGAGTTAAAAACTTTAAACCTGAATCAACTGATTCTTAGCCCATGTTGAAGCGCAACAAACTGTAAACACAACACTGACATATTATCACCTATAAACCAAAACAATGAGCTGAAAAACGCTAAAATGCTGCTTTTCACATTAAACAGGGTAATTTGACCCACTGTTAATATAAAGAGCAGCCTTAAGTGTAGTCACTTTTAAAAATATATGGAAAAATAAACAACTTATTAACATGTAATCCATGTAGCACATAGCAAAGTGCATCAGTTTTAAGACTCTATTTTACATAAAATATCAGGAAAGTTAATCTACAGAACACTCAGATAATGCACATACTTTGGAAAGCATTTTACAGCAGTTGGTGGTTTAGGTTGCTCTTCATACTGGAATGCACTGTAATGTAATGCAATTGGAAACTCTTTAAGATTATGAACAACCAATAAAACAATTATGCACAAATACAGCATTTAATAACACAAGCAAAATAATTTGGTAAAGCAATCATCTACCACAGCTAGAATGCTGACTAGAAAGATGAGTAAGTTTGGATGTAGGCTGCAGTAGCTGATCCACAAAGAAGTCCTTCAAAAGATCAGCTCTACTTGGGAACATGTCAGCATCTGACTAACTTCATTGGGCTTTCTTTGAAGTCTCCTTCACTTTGTTCAGCATCAGCAGACTACTTTCATCCTCAAACCCAACATATTTGTTTCCTTAAAATAAGTAAGTAAGTCTTAAAGTGAGCTGCATTCAAAAGCCCTGAGCAGATGATGCAGAAACTTAGCCCCTCCCACAGCCCATCTGACCTGCACCATCTGATTAAAATATGTGACCACTTTTTTAAAACCAAAATGACTGCTTTTTCCACTGAAACTGAATTAAGGCAGAGTTGATGGTTTCACTTAGATAACGGGTGGCAGTACAATGTATTTCTGCAAGGCGGGCGAATCTTTTCGTTGCCACGTGATGTTTTTCTGCGTTCCTGAGATCACCTGATGGGTCGCGCTCAATGCAGGGCTGTGTGGCCAAATCATATTCATGGAAGAGTAATTCTGGTCTGATTAAAAGCATCACTTCCCCTATTCAACAGTTTTATGTCAGTCACCCCTTTAACCCACCTGGGCGGAGATAGAAACCCGGCCTGTAGCAGCCTTGCCATACAGAGGAAGAACAGAGGGGTCACTCCATAAATTTAAATGTATATGACTGTTGGTTTTATTGCTTTATTTTTATATGTCTCCATCTTTACTACTAAAGAAAGGTCATATTTATTTTTTAGTACCATATATTTTGATAAATATCAGTTAAAATCCTCATTGGCTGGTTTTCTTTCCTAATTTATATGTATTTATTTTAGCTTTTTTTATTTGTTGGTTCTTTTTTTGTAGCTGTATTTGTTTTGAACAAATCTTTTTGTTGTGCATTATTTTCCTTATGGCTCCCATTGACTCCATTACAATTCCTTCAAGGTCATAGTCAAGGTCAATGTGTAAAATTATGGAAATGTAAAACTTTACTGTTTACTGTGTCATTTTTGGCCGCTGTAGGCAGCTGTTATAATATAAAAATCTTTGATAAACCCCACTACACCAGACAGACACAGTAAGCAGGTAGATGGTGAACATAATGGAGCATTTATCAGTCCCTCAGGAGTTGGTTGAGACCCAAACAGAGCTACAAGAGAATGAATATTAAATTCTTAAACACAACTCCAAATAAATGCTAATGTTGCTCCGTATTGGATGGAAGTGTAAATAAGCAACTGTGTGCTAATAAGTTCACCATATCAACTTAAAAGGCACGTTTGAAATATATTCAGATTCTAAAATGTCTTCCCATATTGCCGGTGTTTGTCAATGTTTTTTCAGCGGTGATCATTTTCAGGCTCATTTTCTGTAAGTTGCTGATGAAGCAGTGTGTGGGGCTCAGTTCACTGAGCATTGATGTAAGTGGGTCACTTGCCAGTGGAAATTTGGAAAGCACTTGTGAGAGATTTGCTTCGTTAGGAAGCAAAGGGAAAGTTTAAATTCCCTCAGTCTTAGTCTTGTTCCATTGGCAAACAGGTATCCAGACAGCAGGGCATGTCTCTTCTGCAAGCCAGATTTTCGTAATTGGAGTATTTTTCCCGACATCAAAAGACTGCCTGAGCCCTCCAAATTTAAGACAAAGTTCCTGCTGTTATTGCAGAATTTCTTATGTTACTTATGCTGGCACCGGCCTAAATCCCATCTCTCTTTTGGGTTCCTTTTCTCCCGTCATATAAGCTTGAACTCCATGTCATTGTGCATGTTATTGTACTTTTGTTTCAGGGAAAGGAGGATGAACAGTTATCACAGTGGGATTTTTCTCTCTTTGGATTCTGTTGCCTGTGATAAAAGGCTGTATAAATAAATCTAATAACCTTAAACATGAACTTGTGTAGGAGAAGATAGAGATACAGAGAGGACTACAGCACCCTTTTGGCTTAACAACCTCATAAACAAAGCTAAACAACTCGTGACCACTTGTCAAAGGTTACAATACATATTACTATGAGATGTGAGCTTTCAGAGTGAGTTTTACCTTCTCAGAGTGGTTCATTTGATTATTTTCTAGAGGCCTGAAAAAGTAAAACTATGCAGTATTTCACAAGGGAAGATACAAATCAAGATGAACCTGTTGTTTTTTGTCCTTTTATACCTTGTTACCTGTCTTGTGACCCCTCAGATTGATTTTTGGCGCTGTTAGGCTATGCAGACCCCGAGGCTGGGGTTGGTTTGGGAACCAGTTCAGCAGGCTAACATCTCCAGGTCTCATGGCTGGCGTCAAACCTCCATACAGGTAACAAGTGCCTTTGATTTTAGACATGATAAAAATCTAAATAGTACTGTTTTGAATCCATGTTTATTGAATTCACTTTACTGTGTATTATTACTGTATTATACAGTAACATGCTTTACTCAGAATTTCCTTCTGTTTATGTCCAAATCCAAGAAATCTCCATAAAAACACATTTAGACAACAATCTTTGACCCACTTGTTTTCCTTTGCACTTGTTCATTTCTGTTGAGGCACTTGTCTCACCAGTGTGATGTACTGCAAGGGACATGAGTCTTTCTAAGCCGAAGATAGAAAAGCCACAACCACATAATTATAGCACACTATGGGTGTTTCCAAACAGGCTAACCATAATATCCTTTTTCTCTTTTCTCTCTCCTTTTTTTTTTCACCAAGATGTACATTTTTTCCTCAGAACAATTGGGTGTTACCTTGATGTTACCCCGCTCATTGACATCAGTAGGGTGGAATTTGATATAGTACTTGTGTCTTTTCTCTTCTTCTGGTAGTTAAACAAATCTGAGCTGCTTGTGACATTTGACCTTAATGTGTGTGGTAAAAACTCCCCCTTGCAAGTTACAGAGTACAGTGGCCATGTCACTATTCTGCTTTTACTGGAATTCAGTGGGACCAACAGGTAAAGAGACATCCTAGAACCAGAAGGCCCAGATTCAGGTCTCTCTGAGTGAGAGCATGAACCTTTACTGAAGTGCTTTTGACTGTGACCAAATGTGTTTATTTTCCTTTAAGAGTCAAGTATTTAAGGAAAATATAAAACAGCAGCACTTTAATTTAAGTTGTCCTATTTAGAATTTCTAAGCAGTATATAAGTATTTAATAAATGGTTTATAATTTACAATATAATCTAGTTGTATGCATTATGTTCATTAATGTAGTTGCCAACAACTACATCTCCTCCTATAGGTGCCCCTAAGTGGACAATAATGCATGTTAATAAGGTCAAACACAGTCATAATAGTATAACATATGCATATTCATAGGATAAGCTATAATTGTAAAATACTAAGATTAATAAAATGTTATACTATCTCTTCACTACATCACAGTATACTGTGTTATAAACCTTTCATTAAATGTTAATACAGTACTTATAAATGCTTAAAGTTTGTGTTGACTTTGTAATGCACAGCACATGTTGATAATTGAACATCTGCACATATTAGTAACCATATATTTTACATGTTCCTCTTTTGAGAAATACATAAATACATACATACATACATACAGCTGATATTGGGATAATTTCAGGTGTTTCAGTGAGGGTGCAACTTTTGACCTTATATGTATTTACTTCAGTTTTTCAATCAGTCCTGTAACCAGACAGTCTGAGGTTTGTGTCTTATATAAACCACACAAACTGCAAGTCATTCACAAAAATACACAAACAAATGATATATGAGTTTATTTGGAAGATTTATTACATTCATTGCTTTGGTGTACCAACAGGATGTTGAATCTGAACCCAAATATGCTGTATGGAAATACTAATAATATAACAGGAGTGCAACGTAAACGCCTTGTATCAAGTTTACAGTAAATGTGGGGCATATATTTGTGACATAAAATATTCTAAAAATGTATTAAATTTGGGTAATGACACATAGAAACAAAGAAGAAACACATATTTGTGTACAATAATGCACAAGATATCTACAACAAACATTAAAACAGGTCAGTGGTCTAAAAGATTACAAACAGAATCTTTCTGCAGAGTCAACATATGTTAGTTCTCATAACGTAGTGTAACTGTCATGGTCAGATTATACAAATTTTGATCAAAACCTCCATAATAAAAAAACATTGCCCACAATTCAACAGTTCAATCCTACTTAAAGGTAAATTCTCTACATATAAGAGTACAGAGTAAATGAAGTTGAGGGATTTGAGCAGGTACAACTTTGCAGGTTGTGTTGCACACCCAAACAGGTAAAGACACAAGAATAGCTATGTTAGGCATCTGCATGTAAACAAAGTGTTGCTGTCTCTACGCCTCGGCATGTTCGTGGCAGGGTGTGTAAATAAAGTTTCATGGGCACCAGTTCACTACAGCAAATGCTGTTTGAGGCCTTGGGATTGTGCTTTCCTGTGTTTTTTGTTCAAACTGTACAGCAGCCAGTAACAAGGTTTACCATTTTTATCACACCAGTACAAAAAGGTGAAATCAAAATGAAGACTTTAAGGCTACTGTTACATTCTCTGTAAATGTCTGGAGACATTTTCGCTCATGGCTTAGGTATATATGTCCTCAACAGGGCGAGGTCCCCGCTTATCTCTAAGAGCAAAACTTAATCTCCGTATGACACCCGGATTCTAAATCAACAGCTTTCCCAGCACATCCCACTGTAACAAAACAACCAGGTCCCCCTTAAATTTATAATGACAGAAGAAAATGCAGTTGTAGATCTTATATGAGAATTACTCTGCAACTGTCAGCTTCACTAACTACATAACAAAACCACTTAGATATAATACAGCATAAACCAAGGCTAAGCTCTTCCATTCATTCTGAGAAATAAGCAAAGTACAGCTCCATGTGATCAAGAAGGTAATTATTATAAGTTAAAGAATCTAGTTCATGTTGTGGAAGTCTGCACACAAGACATTTATGGCTAGTCTGTCTGTCCTGGAAGAGGGGACTGTCCTCTGTTGCTCTTCCTGAGGCTTGTTTCATTTTTATCCCCCATTTAAGTGTTTTTTGTGGAGTTTTTCCATATCCTAAGCGAGATTGGTCGGTTTGTGTGTCGTATGCTGCACAGATTGTATAGCCCCTCGAGGCATATTTGTGATTGGTCATATTGGACTATATAAAATGAAGCTGACTTCAACAAACTCACAGTGAACGTTCTCAGAAAAAGGGAATAATTCAGTGAAAGGGGGCTATTGATAGGTGAAATTAAGGCACATACTGTGTAATATTCCACTGCTAAGGCCAAGTAGAGAGGCAGCATTAGACTCTATGATTGTTGGTGTAACAAAGTGGCCTACAAACATAGAATGAGAATGACTTTTGAGTGTTTTTTCAGTGTCTACAACTTCAAGCTGAGTGAGCGCAGACGTAGAAGTTTTTGTGCTCGTCCCAGTAGTGGAGATCATCTGCGAAGCTCCAGGAGCAGGCCAGGTCTTTGCTGGTTTTCACAGTGTGGACCACGCAGTCGCCGGGCAACTTCTCAAAGAGGAGCTCTGCTACACTCGGCACCGTGACTTTCTTCTGACTCTGGATCAGCTGCTGGATGTGATTCTTATCCACAGGCTCAGGCGAGGAGCTGTAGGACACCCAGATGTTAAGTTTCTCATCTGATGAGGGGACCTCGAAGCGACTCCTCCCTGTTGGGCAGTGGAAATCCTTCTTGTTGGCGAACAGGCCTGTAGGGGACTTGAATATGCGCACAGACCAGCCCACCCAGTCATACTTCTTCTTTAATGTCTCTATGATAGCATCTGCTAGTTGCTGGTTGGTTAAGTTTGGCCGGTCTCTCACCAGTCGACGGGAATCCAACTCAGCCTGTTTGGGGAAGCTGACGATGCAGTCTTCAATGACAACATTCATTTTATCCTGGACAACCTTCATCTTCTCACCCCAGTCTTTCAGAAGCGCATCCTCCTCATCATATCCCTTCAGAGCGGCGTGGCCCAACAGCGCAATGAGCCCGATACAGAAGAGCTTCTTCAGCCTAGCACAGAAGTCCTCCACTGGCCGGCGACTTTTCTCCTCGTAGTTCAGAGTGATCTCAAGCACAGATTCCCCAGAGAAGTTATCCCCCGTCACAGCATTGTAAAGGGTGATAAGGTTTTTGTCACCTCCTGTCTTGGCGAAATGCTCCAGGAAAAGCTTCTTTTTGACTTCCCGGAACTTGGGTTTGGCATTGAGGATGTCCATGTACTTCCTGAACTGGTTAGTGATGTTCTCCTCCAGCGGGAAATACACGGCATCCAATCCGCTCTTCTTGATCTCATCGTTGATCCTCTGAATCTCCTCTGAGACCACCTCCAGACGCTCTCGCACCTTCTGAAACTGCTCCTTCATGAACGCAGCCTCTTTGCTCTCTACATTGTCCAGAGCCAGTTTAACAATTGGAGCAGCGATGGAGAAAACAGGGAAAAGGTCGCCGGCGATACTGGCCACCACTTCAGCTCCCTGTTCAAACACTTCCATCACCGTCTCCACCATATCCTTCTTCTCTGCTACAATCTTCTGTAGCTGGTTTGCCATGTTTGCTGATGTCTCTCAGACTGATTCTAACAAGGGAAAAATGTTGACATGGTTAAAAGTCAAAATTTGTCCAAGTACACCTCTTATAAGAACAAAGTAAAAATACAGACTTGAACAAAAATGAGGAAGAAAGTATCAGTCATTATACTGACATAAATGTTGGGTTTTCTTGATCTACTTACAGCTCTTTTCCAGTGTTGTTGGACTGTGGCCTTCTCCCTTGCTCCTCGTACAACACGGCAAAAACTGATAAGGAAAGAGAGAAACAGCCAAGTGAGCTTCACTGCTGGCTGCTGGCCACACCCAGTGAGCAATGAGTCAACAATGCAAAGGGAATTCAGCAGTGACGGAAACAACTGTTTGTATGTTATTTGTGTGTTTAGTGTTGGGTTAAAGGTATTAAAGGTCTTAATGTTAAACTGTATATCTCAAACAAGCAATGAGCCATTTCTCTTGGTGCAGTTGTGGGGCAACATTGAGGAACACTGACTGACCTTAAACCAAGCTAAGCCTTACAAATAAACTACTAACTCATACGTTTTCCCTGAACTCAGGTTTAAAATAGAAAGAAAATAGATTACAGTATGCAGTCCAATAATGTAGAACAAAATAAGTGCCAGTATTTCTCCTGTCAGCCAGTCTGTTTATGCTATTCTACAAACTTTATGCTATGATTTTGATAAATATTCTTTGTTTTCTTTCCCATTACAGTTAGTTAGTTAGATGAGAAGATCGATACCACTCTCATATACTGTATACACACCTGGAGCTGCAGCAGGCCGTTAGCTTAGCATAAAGAGTGGAAACAACTTGCCTGGCTCTGTCCAAAGGTTAAAAAATTTCCCTAAAACTCACTAATTAACTAATGCATCTTGTGTGTTTAATCCAAACAAAAAACACTGTCTAAAAATAACAGAAGAGATTTCATGTGGGGTTATGGGCTGGACCGATTGGCTGGGAGCAGTGACTGTGACTTGTGTACGTCAGATTTTGTTACCTTTGGACAGGGTTTATGTTAACCCTTTCCCCTTGTTTCAAGTCTCAGTACTAAATTAATCTAACCAGCTGCTGGCTCTAGCTCCAAATTGAACAGGCAGGCATGACAATGGTATCGATCTTCTCATCTAACACTGCTGCAAGAAAGAGAAAAAGCATACGTCAAAATGTGAAACCTTTGCTTTAACTTTAAGGCAACATGGATGAGGAAGTGCTACGGATTAAGTCATACACTGAGCTGGCATCAACACATTCATTTCCATGACAACTGAACATGAAGACTGTATTATATATCTGATAGGTCTGGAAATGGCCCTAACATAACAATATGAAAGGTTGAAAGTAAGTATTGTGTGATGTTAAGTGATTGTTGATATGAAGGAAATTACTTTCTGTCTTGCACTTTAAAAACAAGTCCAGTGGATTTGGAAAATCCTGATCTCACACAAACAACTCCTCCAAGGCCAGGAAACAGTAATAGCTGACTGTAACAGCAACCCAGGTTGAGTCTCTGGGCATGTTCAGACATGTTCTTTTGCAAAACTGGAAATGTGTAATTTGGGTGGAAATCACATTTTGGTACAGAATGATGGTACAGTCATCAGCTGGCTTCACAAACTCAGTCACATTCCTTGTCTACGTAGCAGCTGTATGTAATGAACCTGTCGTCACATGTTTTAATTCAATGTTCTGGCCACCGGAGTGTTGTTCACCTTCGGTTTTTAAATTGTGGCTGAAGGAGAAGCAGCAGTGCTGTCTGTCCCTCAGCCGGCCCAGTCAATATTGGAGCAGCAGGCGTGGGAAGTGATTAAGTGGAAGAGGTTAAACTTGCTCTGCAAGGGTGCGTTTTCCAATGAAACTCAGCAAGTTACCACGGCAACAAGACAATGGAAAATAATCTGTCAGCTCATTTGTCTCTTTGCTGAGGTTTGTTCTGGGGGTTTATCTAGCTAGACTGCAGAAGACTGCAGTAAGAGAAGAAGATAGCACCCATTCCTCTGCCTAATGCATCACACACCTCTGCAGCAGCCAGACACATCTGCAGGCACCCACAGACATGAAGGATGTCCACACTGGTGATTTAATTCCACCATGGGCACAAAGATATCTGTCTGATGTCTGCGAAATTAAAGGAATAGTTCCACGTGATGGGAGATACACTTATCTGCTTTCTTGCGCAGAGTTGATAAGAAGATCAATACCACTCTCTTGTCTTTCCATTACATATCAAGCTATAGCCAGCAGCTGGTTACCTTAGATAAGCGTAAAGAGTGGAAACAGAGAGAAGTCTCTAGTCGGGCTCTGTCCAAAGGTAAATCCGCCAACAAGTCCCTATAAAGCTCACAAAATAACATGTTATACATTGTTGTCAACCAAAGTGTAGAAATGACGCATTGCGGTTTATGTGCTGGCCATGATGTCTTGGCCAGGAGCAGTGACTTCCTGATGCCTCGACACACAACCTACAAAACAAGCAACTTGTTGTTTTATTCTTACATTTTGTACCAACTAAATAAACGAGATACGATGTGTTAATTAGTAAGATTTAGAGGTGCTGGTAGGGAGATTTTTTATCTTTGGACAGAGTCAGGCTAGCTGTTTCTCTGTCTTTTGTCTAAATTAAACTGACCAGCAGCGAGCTGCAGCTTAAGGTTTAATTGACAAGACATGAGAGTGGCATCAAGAAAGCAAGCAAAGAATAAGTGTTTTTCATAAATTGTCAAACTATTCATTTAAATAACCTCCACAACTGCTATAATTGTGATATAAAATATACAATATCCGCACAATTTCCTTGAGAACAAAAAACAACACAGTAAAGGAAACTCCAGCAGGATGTTAGAACATTTACAGTGACTGTAATTTATTGGATTTGACCATGCTGAAAGTGTGATTCCTGTTTTCCACTGATGTTCTCTATCTCTTTCAGGGTCCCAGGGGTTGTGTAACTGCATGCACTGAGTGCATGTGAACCACCTTCACACAGACAATTCAAACATAAAAGTGCTTAAAGAAATCGCATTTTCAGAGACAAAGAGCTGGAGGTGTAACTGCAGTCCGCATACCAGCAATATGAGGGCCAAGATATAGACAAGCATAGCGAGTCTTGTTTTCACTAATATTTCTACTAATATTCAGTCATTTACGGTGCTGGTAAGTCACTACTATAAGTACATTTACTCAGAGTACTGTAGTTTAAGGTACTTCGGTATTTCCATTTTATACTACTTCAGAGGGAAACATTATATTCTTTACTCCACCGCTTTCATTTGACAGCTAAAGTTACTACTACTTTTTATATTATGATTTTACATTTAAAAAAAGATAACCTGATAAAATAAAATGCAGCGTTCAAAATTAAACTAGTGGTTTCCAACCATTTTGACCTGTGACACTAATAAAAAAACTGATTCCCCCTCTACACTTGTTAGATTCATTTGAATAACTGTTTGAGCACCAAAAAAGCAAAGATTGATTAAATAAATAAATACAGATTTGTGTTGCAGACCTTTGTTTTTCATCTCTCCTACCACATTTATCATTTCACTACCCTTCACATCTTTCATCTTTTCCCACCCTTTGGAGGAGACCAACCTCTAGTTAGCAAATCACTGGACTAATACCAGTGTATATACAGTAAAGTAGTTAAAACTAGCTCCACGTCTAACAGCTACAACTGTACAATGCTGCACACTGATGCTTCAGTAATTATCTGCAATGCAGTACATAATATGTCAGTAACAGGGGGCGTTTTGCTGTAGAACGAGTACTTCTGATACATTTAATGATAATACATGTGTACTTTTACTTATAACATGAATGTTTATTTATAAAGGAAGATTTTTTACAGTGTGGTATTGACACTTAAGTAAAGAATGTGAGCACTTCTTCCGCATCTGGTAATAAACAGTTAGATGAAATGCACTGATTGAAAACAATGGTAAGCTACAGTGGAAAAGTGTCCATTTCTTGAGACAGTTTCATTTAACTGCATTTGTGATTATTACTATAAAAAAAAAAAAATGAACATGCTTCGAGTTCCAGGCTACTTCAAACCACAGAATGACCATAAAATAGATCAAATTATGGATGCTTCATTTATGTTAATGTGCCAGAGCTTCCTCTTAAACAGAAAGATGACCAAACCCTCCTCCTGACAGCTGACCACTCAGTCTGGCCTCAGAGAGAGACACAACTAATCGCTCTGTTAATGCGCCCTCTTAATGGACAACGTATCGATCAGTCCGTGTACAAGGGCTCTAATTGTATCATTTTACAGCCGAAGGACCGAGAGCCAAACAAACATCGCAGGTTAACGCCACAGATTCGGGTTTTATTACAACGCAACACAAGTTTATAAACGCCTTTAAAAAGTTTGACACTTCCTGGAAAAAGTTAAAGCGGTGGCACCGGAGCTGGCAACCAACGCCCATAAAAGTAGACACTTTTTGTTTAAACTGCATTACATTTTTTGCAGATTCATCTTAATGGACCCACTTCACTTTATTAGATGAAGCTGCGTTAACAAAGTATGTACGCGTATTTGACGTATTTAACAGCAATGCGTCAAAAGAGGAAAGAAAAAGCTCGATTATGTAACAAGAGACTGGAATGAAGTCGATGGGAGTTGAATCGATCATTTACTATTAAAGTGTCCCATCACTAACACACAGTTAACCTAAATGTTCCTGTCCACTATGAAGCATTTTGAACAGAAATGGACTCACCTTATAAAGTTTGCGGAAGAAATACACTAACAGACTGTTTGTCTTCCTATTGGTCATGTGGCTCTCATATTACAGAGCAGAGGCACACCCAGTTAAATAGAAAAAAAACTTGGGTGGTGGTGGAGGGAGAGAAAAAAAGTTGTGAGCATAATAGGTTGTTGCTGTGGCGATATTTTTACAGTTCAACCACCACCCATTTAACAAACAATGGAGTTATTAAATCATTCTAACTGCTGAAGGAGATTGTTTGGATTTAGAAAGAGTAAAAGAGAAAATAGTCAGCCGATCCTTATACATAATACTTAGTCATGTTTTTCATTCTTTTTTTAGTTGGTTGTAACTCAAATAGTGCTTTAAAGTAACGGAGTAATGATTACCAAAGATGACAAGAACATTCATATTTGTTGTTTATTACAAATTAAAGTAAAATATACATAAGTATCTTCATGAAGTGATTGTGGACTATTGATTTTTAAAGTTTTCCCAGTAGCACTATATTGCACCAAAAGCTGCACAAATATTAGAATAGATTTTTCTTTGTACACATTTATATTTAGGGGTGGGCGATACCAATAAAATCTGTTACCACAGTGTATGTCATTTATTTATTTTGTGATAGGCTATGTACGTTGTGTAGATAGTAAATATATTGGAAAATCAATCAAAGAATAGAGAGATAAAATGAACAATCTCATATGACGGGAGATAAACTTATCTCCTTTAGTCTGAGAACCTTCTTATTCATGTTGACATAAAGGAATATCTCAACATTTTGAGAAGTACGCTTATTTTAAGACGTAGCATAAAGACTGGATCTAAAAGGACACAGCTAGAGTGGCTTTGTCCAAAGGCAATAAAAGTCCGCCTACAAGCACTTCTAATGCTCACACATTATATTTGATCCCATTTGTTTAATCGAACAAAAGGCAAAGTGTAAGAACATTACAATGATACAGGAGTTTATTTGTTGAGACTCCAGGAAGTCACTACTCTCAGCCAAAAACTACTCTAGCACATAATCTACAAAATTAAGTTTTTATACTTATAATTAGTTTACTTTAGAGGTACTGGTAAATGGGTTTTATTACCTTTGGACAAAGGCAGTGTAGCAGTTTCTGCATAGTTCAAGTCTTTATGCTAAGCTAAGCTAACTGTCTCTTGGCTGTGCTCACATTATCTAACAAACACGAGAGCAGTATCAATCTTCTCATTCAACTCTTGGCAAGAAAACAGTGGTTTCTCTAAAATGTCCAAATATTCCATTACATTTTGAGCTTGACGGTTCATTTTTGACGTCCGAAACAGCAGCTGATTAAACAGTTTCAACTCAAGGTCCATTTACTTGCTTGTTCTAGAGCTTTCAAGGGCCATTAATGAACAGTGAAGCTCAAATTATATAATTTTTCTAGATCTAAACTGATAAATCTGGGTACTGCACCACAATAATGCCATAAAGCTAATTGATTTACAGCATTACCCACAATTGTCCAATACACCCAGAGATGGTAAACAGATTAAAAGGGATGGGTATGTTGGTGTATGACAAAAGTCTCTGGCAGCAAACAGGCTAATATCGTCATATCGCCCAACCCTATAACATCCACTGGGGACAGAATCATTCTAAGTTTTCATAGCACATAACAAATTGAAGCTGGCATGGAGATGTAAGGCTCTGAAATTTCTACAACACCCTTAAGCTGCTGTATCATCAACAGAGGAAAGATATAAAATAATAAAAAAATCATCATAAATCACAAATAAGAAAATTAATCACATACCAGAAACCAGACATAGCGGATTATGCATCAGCGCAGACAATATTTATGAATACATTTCTATATTTAATGGAAATATTTCCAGTTCTCTGGGAAAGACATTCATGAAATTGATTTGTTGTTCACTTCTTCCCGTGTGCAGCTACTCGGGGTGGATACACAGGTAGGCTCTTTTGTGTTTCCCA